TTGCATATGTGTTTGTGTTGTATACATGTTTGTGTATGTGTTTGCATGTGTTTATGTGTTTCATATATGTTTGTATATGTATGTGCTTGCATATGTGTTTGCGATGTAAGCATGTTTGTGTATGTGTTTGCATATGGGTTTATGTGTTGTATACGTGTTTGGATATGTGTGTGCATGTATTTGTGTATGTGTTTGCTTATCTGTTTGCATATGTTTGCTTATATGTTTGTAAAAATGTTTGCATGTGTGTTTACATGTTTACATGTATGTTTATATATGTGTTTGTATATACATGTTTACTTATGTGTGTGCATGCATGTTTTATATGGGTACATGTTGCGTGTATCTGTAAAGCCTTTTGGGATATTTTAAAGTCAGGAGAGGAACTTAATACAGGCTTATTAATTCAGTCTCCATCATTTTCTGAAGAAGGGTCCCGACCCGAAACGTCAGCTTTCCTGCTCCTCTATTGTTGTGGCTCAGTTGTGTCTCTGACTTCTGAGTCATAAGGCCCTGAGTTTAATTCCATCTCCAGCATCTTTCAGCCCAAAGACCAAGGTTGACACTCCGACACAGAGCTGAGGGAATACTGAGACATTCAACTGAGGCTCCTATTGCCTGCTCGGAGGTGGGGGAATGTAATAGGTCCCTTTGGACTATTGCGGAGATGGGCCAGGAGTTTTCTCTGGTGTTCTGACCGATATTTAATTCATGATTGACATTACAAAAAAAACCAGACTATCTGATTAGGATCACATTGCTGTTTGTGGGAGCTTTCTGTGCATACATTGAGCACAAAGAATAGGAGCAGAAGTAGACCATTCAGCCCGTCGAGGCTGCTCCACCATTCAGTGTGATCATGGCTGATTGGGGGCTCCAACTTACTTTCCTGATCGCTCCCGCGTCCCTTGTTGCCCTGAAAGACCTAAAATCTGTTTATCTCAGCCTGAAATAGACTCAATGAGGGAATATCCGCATCTCTGCTTGGTAGAGAATTTCAAAGACTCCCAACTCACTGAGTAAAGTGATTCCACCTCATCTCAGTCTGAAATGATCAGTTCCTCATTCTGAAACTGTGTTGCTTTGGTCGAGATTCCCCCACCAAGGGAAACAGCTTCTCAGGATCAACCCTGTCATGCTCCCTCATTATCTTATAGTGTCATAGAGTCATACAGCATGGAAATCAACTATTTGGTCCAACCAGTTCATGCCAACCATGTTCCCAAACAATACTAGTCCTACCTGCCTGAGTTTGGCCCATATCACTCCAAACCTTTCCTATTTATATACCTATCCAAATGTCTTTTAAATGTTGTAACTGTACCTTCATCCACCACTTCTTCTGGCAGTTCATTCCACACACAAATCACTGTCTGCCTAAAAAAGTAGCCCCTCATGTCCCTTTTCAAGTCTTTCTCCTCTCACCTTAAAAATATCCCTCCTAGGTTTGAACTCACCCCCTTTCGAGAAAAGATCCTTGCTTGTATGTTTCAGTAAGATCACTGCTCATTTTCCTAAGCTGCGGAGAACGGGGGCCCACTTTTCTCAGCCTGTAATCCTAAGACATCCCTATCATTCCAGGGTCCAATCCACTGAACCTTTGTGGTACGGCCTCCAGTGCAGACAATAGTTACTGTTTTTTTTTCCTGAATTACTGCAGGCAGTGCAGTTTCAAAGTGTTTAATGGTCTGTAAAGCTCCTTGAGAGGTCCGGTGGTTGGGAAACGGTACTGTGCAGACACAAGTCTTTTCGGTTTCTTTTTCCATGTTTTGATAGGATATGAGGGAAAAGCGGGACGTGACTGCTATGTTGGATGGTCAGCCATGATCCTGTTGAATGGCGGAGCGGGCTGAAAGGGCCAAATGGCCTACTCCTGCTCCGATTTATGTTTCCTGTTTTCTGAGTGTCAATGAGGGAAAGCAGTCCACTTTAACCCTGTCCGTGTGACTAGTGACAGATTACAAGCCCTCGCCCGACTCTGGCCGTTATCTGTGTACTCCCCTTGCTTCTGCTTGTGGGACCTTGCTGTGCTGGGCGTTGTCTGCTACGTTTGCCTATATTCCGACGGTGCCAGCATTCCCTAACCGGGGAACCTCACACCTTCACAGGTGAAGCAAGGCAGTGACGAATAAATAAGTAAGCGCAGGGTGTTGGATGTCTGGGACCTCCTGGTGAGCCAGATGGTAGGGTTCCAGAAACCCCTCAGGGAGCCAGATGGGTCTGGGATTCAGCCTTCCTCACCCACCCCCAATACCACCTCCGTCCCCACATTCCCCATAACTCCGAGGGGCCTTTGCTGCTTGTCTCATGTCATCCCTCCTTCTTGTCGTTGTGAACCAGGTCTGCATCGAGACGTATGTGACCAGCAGTCACCAGCGCAGTATCAACACGGCTGTGCGAGCCACTCTCAGCCAGATGTTGAGTGACCTGACCCAGCAACTCCGCCTGAGGCAGGAGAGTGAGGTGAGACGAACGATGCAGAACGAGGGGAGCACCATTTAAAAAGATGGGGTCCCTCACCTTAAACAGAGACCAGGAGGAATTCTCTCTCTTGGGAGGTCGTGAGTCTTTGGAACACTCTTCCTCAGAATCCAGTGGAGGCAGGGTCATTGGCTATATTTCAGGTAGAAGCAAGTCCTGGAATTCTCTCCCTCATGGCATTGGGTGTCTACCTATAACACATGGACTGTAGCGGTTCAAATAGGTAGCTCAGCACCACTTTCTCAAAGGCACTTAGGGATGGGTGACCAAAGCTGGCCTAGCCAGCAATACTCACATTCTGTGAATGAGCAAAAAGTATGGATTTTGTGACTAATGAGGGAGTCATGGGTTATTGTGGGTAGGCACGGAAGTGGAGTTGAGGTCACAGATCAGACATGATATTATTGAATGGCAGGGCAGGCTCAAGGGGCTGAATGGCCTACTCCTATTCATAATTTATACGCTCAGCTGTTCAAATACCAATCAGAGGCGCCCCTACTGCCTGTCACTCACTATTTTGCACATGGCCTCTTTCTGGGCTGGACTTTCAGGGTGGCACGGTAGCTCAATGATAAGCACTGCTGCCTCACAGCACCAGGGACTCGGGTTTGATTCCACCCTCGGGCGACTGTCTGTGTGGAGTTTGCACATTCTCCCCGTGTGTGCGTGGGTTTCCTCCGGGTGTTCCGGTTTCCTCCCACAGTCCAAAGATGTGCAGGCTAGGTGGATTGGCCATGCTAAATTGCCCATAGTGTTTAGGGATGCCTAGGTTAGGGGCGTTAAAGGGGGATGGGTCTGGTTGGGATGCTCTGAGGGTCAGTGTGGACTTGTTGGGCCAAAGAGCCTGTCTCCACACTGTAGGGTTCTATGATTTAATGACTTTCTCCAACTGGATATTTGTCATGGACTTCTGTAAAACAGTGGACAAGATGTGAGGGTTTTACTGTGGTCTTAGCTTGTCAGACAGATATATTGACTCTGAACAAAGGGAAGTTGTGACGGGTTGGGTTCAGAGCAATGATAATAATATGAAGTGTTAAATACTCTCACAGTACAGTGTAAAGAGGAAGAATAATCCAGCAGATTTTGAACTGGCAGTAGCATTATGGGCTGAATGGCCATCATCTGCACTGTATGATTCAATGGAATGTATGCATGGCTTGTCAGGACAGGATGAGGATGATTTCTTTCATAGTTACACTGTTTAATGTTCATTGACCAAAGACAGGTGTGAGAGGTGAATTTTAGCAAGAGTACTCTGAGGCTGGGGGAGCAAGGCCACTGGGCCAGTGGCAGAGAGACTGGGGAAGTGGGTCTGCCGAAGGCCAGGGGACACATTGGAGGGTGGGCTGGGGAATGATTCTGCCAGGCTGGGAGCGAGCGAGATTGGGAGCTGGAGGTCTATGGGGGAAATCATGCTGAATAAGGGAGGAGAGAGATATAAAGATGGAAAAAGAGGCTGCAAAGGGAAGACCTTTCAATTATAGGTCACTAAACTCCCTGGGAACCAAGAAATCTTGAGGTTAACATGCTAATAAAGTCTGTGCAAATAATGTGGAATCTTGAGCTTAAGGCAGCAGAAATTCAGGGAGAAATGTAGTGGGTGTTATTGTAGTGATTAGATAATTTAATACTAAACAGCTTTATTTCATAAATACTTGTATTTGTCTTATCACATCTCAGAGCATCTCAAAAACTTTGAATTACTTGAAATGACTGTTTTAGAGACAATGATGCACCTTGTTTAGATGTGTTCTCACCAGTCCTTGGAAAGGATGTCCAGGGTGATAGCTTTTTGTCTATAGAAGTGTGTATCAGTTATTTCTTTTCAAAAACTGTTGCGAATTTATGACTGCTGTCTTCTGCCTGTTTAAATACTGTAGTATGCATGCTATTAATGCATTCCTTGTGTGTTGTGCTTTATATTAAATGGAGGATTGTAATTATTAATGATATTGATGAATTCTTCTAATTCTGCTTCTGTGTGAGTCCTAATATTCCTCACAACAATGCGAATACAGAGTTGTATTATGTACTATGTGACCACATCACCTAATGAATGAGTCCTTAATCTGCTCCCCCTTATTTTAAGTCTCTGCCCCTTAGTTCTGGTTTCACCCGTCAGTGGAAACAACTTCCCTGCTTCTATCTTATCCATTCCCTCCATAATTTTATGATTCTATAAGATCCCCAATAACATTGAATATCATAGCAGAAAACCGTGGAGAAGATGACGAAACAATTTTAGTATCTGTTGAGGCTTCACTGAGGACAGTGATGAAAACGTCCATGTCTGTAAGGTGAAGGTAGCCCGAGTACTCTAATTGCTATTCACGTATAATGAAGACCCCTGTATCTCTGATGTCCATGTTCCCAAACAGAATCTCTCTGGACTCATGGATTGAGATACTTATCAGAAATGCACTTAGTTTAGGTAAATCTCGGGCATGGGTTTTCCCGATTTATTGCTGTAACCTTCTATGGAGGTTGAAAACGAGAATAATGTTAAGTGGGTTGCATCCTCCATGTTGCACAATTCAATTTCTATCACATAGTGGTTGAAGTGTTTAAAGTTCCTTTGCGTTCCAGTCACTGGTAAGTATGTCTGCTCACCATGTGGATGGTCCCAGTTGTTGATGACAACCAATCTCACTAAATGAATCAATTTCCCTTCTCTTGTCAGAGCGGGAATGGCTGTACATTGCAAGAGGAACATCACAGCAAAGGTAAAAAGCTTTTGGCAAACTCAGGTGGAGCATATTATACCAGGATGTACTTAAAAAATAAAACAAAGAACTGTGGATGTTGGAGATCTGAAACACACCGAAAACAGAAATTGCTGGAGAAATTCAGCAGGTCTGGCAGCATCTGTGAAGAGGAAGCAGAGTTAACGTTTTGAGTCCAGCTATCTGAGGAAGGGTCATTGGCCTCAGACTGGTTGAGTTTCTCCAGCAATTTTTGTTTTTGTGTGTGCCAGCAAATTCTTGTTGGGCTAAATGGCCTGTTGTTGTGCAGTTGCTAAATCTGGATGGCAGGTTTGACATGTCATTTAAGCTTGCTTATACAGTCACTTAATACAAAAAGCCATTCAATCCATCGTGCCTGTACCAACTTCAGGAACAACTTACCTAATTAACCCATTTGGAGCATTGGCGATTAACAGGAGACTTGATCGAGGTAGACAAGATCATGACAGGTTTACATAAGGTTGACAAAGAAAATTGCAGTCATCTATTAGCCCATCCCATGCATTTCAAAGACTAGAGGAGCATATTTTAAGGTTTTGGGCAAGAGATGTAGGGTGGGAAGAGGGGCAGGAATGTGAGCAAAAAGCTCTTACTCAGCGAGTGGCAATGACCTAGCACTCTCTGACTTCAAGGGAGGTGGAAACGAAGATGATCCATGATTTTTAAAAGAAATTGTGTGGACCCTTTAGGGAAATAAACTTGCAGGGCTGCAGTTATGGAGTGGGGGAACGGGACTGACTTGATCACTCTGTGGAGGGCTGGCATGGATTCATTGGGCCGATTGGCCTCCTGTGCCATAATGATTCTATGGCTCTGCCACTCCTATAGCCTTGCAAGCTTTATAGAATCCCTGCAGTTTTGAAAGAGGCCATTTGGCCCAATGTGTCTGCACCAACCCTCTGGAGAGCAACACGCCCAGACCTAGCCCCCATTCTATCCCATTTCCCATGGCTAATCCACTTAACCTGCATATTCCTGGGCACTGTGGGTATACCCTGTCCTCTCCCCATAAGGTGCAAAATAGGTGGGCACCTAGATTGACTGACTACCATACCTAAATAAACCATTAAAGGTCATTTGGATTTGTTAACAAGCCTGTTGACCCGAATAACACATGGCACACATCAAAATGTGCCTGGTGTAAACAGTCGGGTGAGGGTGAGCAGTTTGTAGAGACAGACCTGATGTGAGGAGGGGAGGAAGACGAAGGCATTTTATTCTTCAGGGTGTCCCACACATGTCAAGTGTACACCTCTTCCCCGAGATGCCAACACCTCCTCCCTTCTGTGCCATCTGCCAGACCACACTGCTCCACGCCATATCTCCATCTCACTGGCCTAAGATGGTGTCCCTTTAACACCCAACTCCCCACAAGAAAGCCGTGACCCTCCCTGGGCCTTATCCTACAATTCTAGGTATCAGGAATATTGGAGCTCATGGCGAATCAGATCAAGTAGCAGCTCCGAAGGGCGGGATTATCTTCCAGGTGAGGGCCAGAAACCCCACCATTGGCTCGTTTAGCCCTAGCCTCCATATGTTGTGGTGTCAGGGCATGCTTGCAAGGAGTGAATTGTAGGCAAACCCTTCCCTCCCTCTCCCTTAATGACCATCCTGTTGGGTGGTCTCTCAAATGACCACCATTGTGTCTTACAGATGTCACTATGACAACTTTGGACTGAGCGGGTGGGTTTTAACTCCTCTTTGACCAGGCTGTTGGTCATCCATCCCAATGTTTCCCCATGTGACATGGTTTCAGGTACACTCCTGTGAGACACCTTGGGCCACTTTACTACGCCAAGCTGTTATTGTTACTCTCTGTCTTTCCTCATCCCACGCTATCCCTCTCCCCTGCCCTTGTTATTCCCGAAGCCAGTGTTGTGGCCTTAGAGATGTTTCAGTCGTTCTGATCGTCCTGTGCTTCTTCTGTCAGGCTCCTCAGTCCCAGTCGAGTCGCTGTGTGAGGACGTTGTCTCGGTGCTCGCTGTCCTTTGTGAGAAGCTGCAAAGAGTGGTGATGTAAGTGGACTCTCTGTGGCTCAGTCTTTAAGATATTTCCAGAAGGATTATCCACAAACCTGCCCAGCTCAGGCCTAACTACCACCCACTTTCAGAAGTCATAGCATTGACTAGAATTCTGTGCCAAGCCTGGTCCGAGGCAGTGTGACTCCTACCTGCATTCTACCAGCTGGCCCCAGGGATGATGGTGAGGGCAGGAAGGTCAATGTAACTATAGTTCTAACTTTAGTGGGAGTGAGGAGGGAGGAGAAGCGGGAGGAGATGGTGGTGGGACTGGCTAAGCTTGCTCTTGTAGAGAACCAGAACTGTACGGTGGGCTGATTGGCCTCATCTTTGCAGTAACCATTCTGCGGTTCACTAATTGATTGATGTAGTCATGGAAATTAGGTGTCACATCCCGAATTGCCCTTGAGAAGGTGGTGGTGAGCTGCTCCCTTAAAGCAAGTCAGTCCATGGAGTGTAGGGACCCTCCACACAGCTGATAGGATGGGGGTTCCAGCATTTTGCCTCAGTGACAGTCGAGGCTGGTTGGTCCATCCTGTTTAATTTTTTTTTTAGTGAATATTTTGCAGCAGTCACAACCCTCAGCATCAGGAATCATTAGGGTGGTCTCAGCTTTTCAACCTGGTTTGGGATCTGACCCCTTTTCAGTCCCATGGAGAGTACATTTGTGCTAATGTATAGGTCCCACAAGGTTTAGAATGGGCAGCTACTACAAAGCCATTTCCATTAACATTAGTTTGCATGCTGCCTATTGTACTGTTTAAAGTACCCTGAAATTTTGTTTGTGGGATATGGCCTCAATGGAAATGCCATCATTTATTGCCCATTCCTTATTATCGGTGAACCACTGTAGCCCAGATGATGTAGGTACCCCCCACCATTATGTTGTTAGGGATGGAGTTCCAAGATTTTGACCCAGAAACTCTGAAGGAATGGCGATGAAGTTCCAAGTCAGGATGGTTAGTGACTCAGAAAAAACTTGCAGGCGGTTGTGCTCCCATGTACCTGCTGCCCTTGTGCTAGATGCCTGGAGGGTGCAGGTACTGGAGCAACTTTAGTGAGTTACTACAATGGATAATATACACTGCTGCCACTGTGTGTCAGTGGCTAAGAGAGTGAATGTTGAAAGTGGTGGATAGGGTGACAATCAAGTTGGCTGCTTTGTTCTGGATGGTGTCACGCACGTGACACAAGTTACTGCACAGTGCGTTTTGTGAGGGCATTTCAGAATTTTGAGCCAGCAACCCTGAAGGAACGGTGATGTATTTCCAAGTCAGGATGGTGAGCAAACTTTCAGGTGATGGTGTTCCCATGTATTTGTTGCCCTTGTCTTTGTAGATGGTAGTAGTCGTGGGTTTGGAAGGTGCAGTTGAAGGAGTGTTGGCAAGAATGCATCTTGTAGATGGAAAACAATGGAGTTCACCTCTTTTTGTCTATGTTTGGACCAGGCTGTAATGCAGTCAGGAGCTGAGTTGCCCTGGAGGAACCCCAACTAAGCATCAATGAGTGGGTTATCATTGAATAAGTGCTGCTTGATAACTGTGTTGATATCATCTTTCATCACTTGCTGTATTTTGATGGATGATATTATGCAATAGTTCACACTTTGTCAAGGTGCTGTAAATGCAAAGATATACAGAAGAATGCCAGTCTTCATAAATTGTTCGATTCCCTTTTCGTTTGTTGAAATTCTTATAATCCCCTGAATGGGGAGGGCTTTAGAGTCTGGATTAAACACTGATGCAGAAACTTGAGTTTCACACTGTCTGGTTCAGTTTAATTGGTGATGTGATGTGACATTTTTTCAATGTATGTAATGCCGCTACCTGATTATTCCAGTTGGTGGGCATATTGTGAGCACACTAACATTAGCCAATGATTTCTGGGAACTAGCTGCTGCCGGTAGATCATATATGTTTGAATTTAATGACTAACTTCTCGCATGGACCCTACTTTTCTACTTTTCCAGTGGGATTAATGTCATGCCTGTTAGAATTTCGAGTTGAATTTATCTGAGCTGCACTTTAACTTCTGCCCTTTTCCTTTCAGCAATAACCAACAGTTGCAGCTTCTTTACCTGGAGTGTATTCTCTCCATGCTGAACAGTTCCTCTCCTGTCATGCATCGTCATAAAGGTTTCACAGACCTCTTGTGGTGAGCTGTGTTATTGATGCATTTGCGGTCTCTACCGTTGCAGTTTGTGTTGTTTTAAGTGTTGACCATGAGACACAGAGGCAGAAGTAGGCCGTTCAGCCCATCAAGTCTGCTCCACCATTCAATGATTTCTGGGAACTAGCTGCTGCCGGTAGATCATATATGCTTGAATTTAATGACTAACTTCTCACATGGACCCTACCTTTCTAATTTTCCAGTGGGATTAATGTCATGCCTGTTAGAATTTCCAGTTGAATTTGTCTCAGCTGCATTTTAACTTCTGCCTTCAACTTCATGGCTGATCTGTCAATTCTCAGCTCCACTTTCCTGACTTTTCCCCTGTAACCCGTCATCCTTTTACAGATTAAAAATCCATCTATCTCAGCCTTGAATATATTTAATGACTCAGCCTCTAGAGCCCTCTGTAGTAAAGAACTGTACAGATTCACTACCTTCTGAGAGAAGAAATTCCTCCTCATCTCTATCTTAAATGTGCGACCCTTTATTCTAATATTATGCCCTCTGGACCTAGACTTTCCCACAAGAGAAAGCAACCTTTCCGCTTCAAGTTCCTAAGAATTTTGTACGTTTTAATAAAGTTGTGTCTCACTCTTTTAAATTTCAGTGAGTACAGGCTTAATCTATTCAACCTCTACAACTCATTGGTCAGACCAAGTTTGGAGTATTGAGTTCAGTTCCAGGCACCTTATTTACAAACCAGGGATCGCAACTTCAAGATTGTCAGCAAGAGAGCTAGGAGTGAGATGAGGAGAAACTTATTTACTCAAAATCGTTAGGATTTGGGAGGCAGATTCCATAGGAGGTTTCAAAAGACAGATGGATCAATATTTGAAAGTGACGAATTTAGAGGGCTATGGAGATAGGGCTGGCGAGTGGGACTAGCTGCGTAGCTCTTTCAGGAGCTGATACGGACCCGATGGGTCGAATGGCCTTCTTCTGTGCTGTAACATTCTATGACCTGGGTCAGCTGTTCACCAATACCAGTGCAGGCAGCTCTCTGCTGAGTGTCTGTTTGCAGCAATAGATTTCTGTTGCCAACTTGATGTCTCTGTTACATGCTGTAAAAAACACCAACTGAAATGGTGCGGGGGCAAGTCTGGAAGTTGTTCGTCAATGAAGGCATAAAGACTAATGGCCTTCTATTGCATTAGACTGTTGAGCTTTGAAGGGCCTCACAGTCCATCCTAATCTATCCGTGACTAGCTTTCCCTGTATTTCCCAGTACATTTCCCCACGGAAAGGCAAACAGAAGACCGTTCGACCCATCAGGTAAGAGTAGATGGGCTGTCATAGTAATGACACTGGATTAATAGCCCAGAGGCTCAGGCTAATTATCTAAGGACATGAGTTCAAATCCCACCATGATGAAAATCTAAATTTAAATCTAAATCTAAATGTACAATTAATGAGGCGTATCTTAAGCTGGTGTCAATTATTGTCCACATCCGCATTAGTCCCCATGATTGGAAAGCAGTCTGAAGGAGCAG